TGGGTGGCTAAGTGGGTTAAGCCTCTGCCTTCGGCTCAGATCATGATCTCAGGGTCCTGGGATCGAGCCCCGCATCGGGCTCTCTGCTCGGCAGGGAGTCTGCTTCCCCTTCTCTCTCTGCCTGCCTCTCTGCCTACTTGTGATCTCTCTCTGTCAAATAAATAAATAAATAATCTTAAAAAAAGAAAAGAAAAGCTGAAATTACTACTTCTGGCCAGGCCAGTAACTGCAGAAAACAGCAGAGAGCCCACAGCTAGTAAATGTGTGGCATAACCATTTTCAGGTGGCAGGTATAAGCTTATTAACGAACACACAGGGTTTTAATTCTAATCCTTTTCTGTGAACTTATAGAAAATTCCCTTATTTATTGATCATTTTCCTGGTGGATACACTTAAGCACACTATTTCGATTAATTTTCTTGAGATCCACGTGGGCTAGAACAGTTTATCCACACTGCAGGTGAAAGGGCCAGTTGTTACAATGTAAGTGAGTGGCTGGGGAGGCACAGCTCACAGATATCAGACTGGAGCTCAAACCTAGGCCACGCCAACCTAACTGCTACCTCCCTTCTCCATTTGGGGAGAGGGAGACATCGTCACAATTGGAACACTGGCCAAAAGTGCCTTCCAGAAATGCTGGCCCCAACACAGTCATTTCACACGGAGGCAACCCGCTGAAGGGGACTTCCGAGATTTCCATCTGTTCGTACTCTGACCTGCCTTGGACTGGTGACCTGGAAAAATATTTGGCTGGGTTTTTCCACTTGTAAACTAAGGCCAATAATATGAGTCTTGAAGAGATTTTATGCAAGAAAAATAAAACAAATTGCCTAACACAAGAAATCTTAGTTCCCTTGTAATTCCAATAAATCTCTGGTCTAGCACAATTATTTACTGGGGGCAACTCTGGGATCAAAGACAGGCACGGATTACTTTGGCCTGACTCACCTGTGTGCCAGACACGCAGTCATCTGAATGTAAATACAGTCATCTGATAATGTATTATGTGAAATTAAGTGCAAGCAGTTGCCTCTTATGGGAATGAGAAAATGAGGCCTGTGAAAGCACTCTCTGTTTGATATTAAGTCTGATATGCAAGAAGGTGTGGTGCTTCCAGAACATTGTGGTTTTGGTGTGGTTGGTGATCACACAAAAGATCTGATAAAGGAAAAGTACAGTTTTATTCAAAAGAGTCCTTCACGGTGGAGCTCTAGGACCTTCTGTCCCGCCTCTGATTGCGCCCTCCAGTGCTGTGGACGCTATGTTCATGCAAGTCTGCCTCCAGCGTGCCCCATATGCATGCCCTGATGCCCAGGCTTTCTGCCCCAGGGCCGTCTGTGACATCATAGGTCTAGCTGCAGGCGTGCTAATGCTCCTGGCAGGACAGGAGCTAAGACATGAAACCTCCCATGTCTGCATTCAGGGGGACAATTCGAGGAGGCATTTCATGGGCTTCTCAGAAGGTCTCAGTAGAATCCGTCTCCGGATGCCTCGACATATCTTCAGTATTGCTTCTTCATCCTGGTTCTCTTCTTCCCGGTTTCATCCTCCCTGTTCTCTGATAGCAATGGAAGAAGGCCATTGGAAGACCCTTCCCATTAGAAGAGACCACCTTTTTTTTTTTTTCATTTATAACTCCATCCAACTTCCCAAAGTCTTATAATAACATACGAATAAATCTTTTCCCAGTTCATTTTGGTTTATTTTGAATTCCCAGCAGGCTCATATGGGTCCCTGCTCCCTTAGTGTTCCAAACCTATTTGTAATGGAACAGATTAGGGTTATGTTTACAGAAGTAGAGTCTGCCTGGATTTTCCTCATTAATGCAACAATCACTTACTGAATACATGTGCAGAGCAGATCCAGGTTTTATGGAGCCTAAACCTTATAAATTTTACGGTGCTCTTTGAAAAAGACATAGAAAAATTTTTTCTTTAAGTCTTGGAAAGGTCCTATGTGAATGAGAAGGGCTTGAAGTTATTCTTCACTGACTTTATGGCCAACACACCCATCACTGTTGACTATGTGTAAGAAGTGTTCCAGGTGTTTGGGAAACACCAGTGCAAAAAAAGCAAAACAAAACAAAACAAAAAATAAAGCTTCAAAATGAGGTCTATATTTCTAGCAAATTTTATGACAAATTTGTGACTCGATAATTAATTTAAAAATAAATTTATAGAGAAATATTCCTGGTAAATGCTTACCTCTCAAAAAAAATTAAGCATCCTTGAGGATACTGGTCCTCTGGGTAGATCATACTTCATTATGAGAACAATCCTCAGACCTTTGAGATCCCATATGCCCTACCTCAAAGAATATGAGTCCTTGCTGGAAAGCTCCCCCCTTTTTTTGCATCAACCCAGCCATGGGAAGTAGACTTCTTTGCTATGTGATCCTTAGTCTCTTGGAACTAAGTAAGTCCTGGGCATAAGGGGAGAGTCCTTCCCGGGTTTGCCTAGGCCCTTGGGTTCACACAAACCTTTCTGTGCAGCACTCCTTGTGTCCGATTTCTGATTCCGTGTCCTTTCTCACTGTTGTATGATTATAGGAATTACCCATGAAGAGTATGTCAAGAATGCAGCCACAGAAATAGAGAAGGCTCACACTGAGATATGACCTATATAGGAAATAACAGTGTGTACTGATATTGATGAGCCGTAAGTTTGACACCGGAGCAAATGTATGGTTCAATCAATATTCACCCATCTGGTGGGTGCAAGACCTTCCGAATGGAGACAAAACAATTCCCTGTGGCCCTGGGGTCCTCAGACATGTGAACCTGTGGATGAATATCTCATCTATGTCGCTAATGAGCTTCCTCTTTTCTCATGGAAAGTGGAGTCATGGAACGAGTGTGGCCTGGTGTCTGTAGCCTCGTCTGAAGCAAAGGGAACGATCTGACTCATGGGAGCATGAAGACCTGAGTGCAGATGGCAGGGCTCCCGTCACTCAGGGCATTGTGAGGCAACATAAAATAATTCTTCAAATTCCAATGACCTTGACCTTGAGACTTTGAAAACTTTCTGGACATGGTTATTTTAAACAAGAAAATCACTATGGGCTGAACATCCAATTATCCAGAGTTAAGGCAAAGAGAAAAACTAAAAAGTATTTGGAGGCGAATTTTGAACAGTAAAGTCACCAAAGAACCAGGACCATCATAATAATATTTCTTAGTCTACAGAAATATTACGAAAAAATTGTAATAGTATGCAAATAAAGAATTCTATCATAATTCATAGAGGAACAAGTTTTCTTGATATAAGGTAGAGGAGAAGTATATATACCTATAAGTGTTCTTCAGAAAGCAAACTAACAAGTTTTCCCCCTTCTGAGACACTCAACTTTGTGTATATTAATGATTTGTTCCTGTGGGGAAAGGGGAGTGGCAGGTTAGCTCTGCAGCTCAAGCATTTGTCAAGGATAGTGATGTCACTGAGTGACTGGGTGCCCAAGTTCTATTTCCCCAAAACAAAACTAGAAGACATAAGATTCTGACCTTCTCCGGAAATGGTCACCAGGCTCTTCTGTGTGGCTCTTTGTCTCCTGTGGGTAGGTAAGTGCAGGCAAGCTTCCTTCCCTGGAATTCCCAAGACCACAACACAAACCTTCCTCCTAAGATGACAATATTAGTCTCTGTCACTCTCTATTACAGGACACATGGATGCTGAGATCACCCAGAGTCCAAGAAATGAGATCGCAAGGACAGGAAAGAAGGTGACTCTGATATGTCACCAGACAGAGAACTATGACTATATGTACTGGTATCGACAAGACCTGGGACATGGACTGAGGCTGATCTATTATTCAATCAATACTGGCAGCACTCAAAAAGGAGAAGTCTCCGATGGGTACAATATCTCCAGACCAAAAACAGAGGAGTTCCACCTCATACTGCCTTCTGTTACCTCCTCCCA